GTGATCCAAGCGCCTCGGCCTCCCAAAGTGCTGAGATTACAGGCATGAGCTACCACGCCCAGCCGATCCCATCTCTTAAAAAAAAAAAAGAGGGCTAACTCAACAATCAATTAAAAAAATTTTTTAAAGGATATAAATATACAACTGAACAACAACAAAACAACTCAACTAAAAAATGTGACCGGACTTGAACAGTCATTTCTCCAAAGATATGCAAGTGGTCGATCAGCACATGAAAAGACGCACCACATCACTATCACTAGGGAAATGCAAATCCAAACCACAATGAGATCACTTCACACACATTATAATGACTACCATCAAACAGAAAGTAACAAGTGTTGGCAAGGTTGTAGAGAAACTGGAACCTTTATGCATTGCTGGTAGGAATATAAAATGGTGCAGCCACCGTGGAACACTGGATGGTGGAGTCACAAAAAAATTAAACACACAATTACCACATGATATAACAATTCCGCTTCTGAGACTACATCCAAACAACTGAAAGCAGGTTGTCAAAAGATATTTGTATACCCATGTTTATAAATGCATCAACAGCCAAAAGGTTGAAGCAACCCAACTGTCCATCATAGATGAATGGATAAACAAAATGTAATACATGCATACAACAATATTATTCAGCCTTGAAAAGGAAGAAAATTGTGATGTGCTACAATACAGATGAACCTTGAAAATATTATGCTAAGGGAAGTCAGCCAGACGCAAAAGGACTATGGTATAATTCTACTTACATGAAGTACATAGAGTAGTCAAATTCATACAGACAGCAAATAGAATGGTGGTTGCCAGCGGGATGGGGAGTCAGTGTTTAATGGGTGTAAGGTTTCAGGGTGGGAAGGTAAAGTTCTGGAGATGGATGGTGGTGATGAACGTGAATTACTTAATACAGTAGTTCCCCCTTATCTGCGGTTTTGCTTTTACAGGTTTCAGTTACCCGTGGCCAACTGCAGTCCAAAAACATTAAATAGAAATTTAATAGAAAAAGAAAATTCCAGAAAGGAACAATTCATACATTTTAAATTATGTGCCGTTCTGAGTAGCGAGAAGAAATCTCATGTCCTGCTCGTCCTACCTGGAAAGTGAATCATCCTTTTGTATCCATGCTATAAATGCTTAGTAACTGGTTGTCACAATATCACAGCCCTTGTGTCCAAGTCACCCTTCTTTCACATGATAATGGCCCCAAACCACAAAATAGTGATGCAGTTTGGACCTGCCAAGAAATGCTTCCTAAGTGAAAAGGTGAAAGTTCTTGACTTAATAAAGAAAAAGAATTGTATACTGAGGTTTCTAAGATCTGCAGTAAATAAGATATTTTAAGCGAGAGAGACCACTTTCACATAACTCTTATTACAATAATTATACTTGTTCTATTTTATTGTTAATCTCTTACTGTGCCTAATTTATAAGTTAAGCTTTATCATAAGTATGTATTCGGAGGAAAAAACATAGTATAGATGGGGTTTAGTAGGATCTGAGATTTCAGGCCCCTACGGGGGCTTCTGGAATGACTCCCTTGTGGATCAGCAGGACTACTTCACCACTGAACTGTCTGCCCAAAAAATGGCTAAAATGGTAACACTTGTGCTATATTTATTTTACCATAAATTTAAAAAAATAATAAAAGGCTGGCCGTGGTGGCTCACACCTGTAATCCCAACAATTTGGGAGGCTAAGGTGGGCGGATCACTTGAGGCCAGGAGTTCAGGACCAGCCTGGCTAACATGGCAAAACCCCATCTCTACTAAAAGTATAAAAATTAGCCGGGTGTGGTAGCACACACCTTAGTTCCAGCTACTAGGGAGGCTGAGGCAGGAGAATTGCTTGAACCCAGGAGGCAGAGGTTGCAGTGGGCGGAGACTGAGCCATTGCACTCCAGCCTGGGTGACAGAGCAAGACTCTGTCTCAAAAAATAAATAAATAAAAGAAAAAAAAAATAAACAGCTCCCCTCTGCCGAGGTTCTAATCCCTCAGCTAGCTACCTCAGCCAAGGTATCACCTCTTTTTCCTTGTGGGCAGGCTTACTCAGGAGGTCCTCTGCCCTCCCCCTTCCTGAACATCCTCCAGGATAAATCGTCTCGGTGACTTTTCACATGGTATGAGGTGTTCTACCTTTACCTAGAGCAGATACACATGAAAACGTATTCTATCCTTCTCTAAGATACCTGCTGTGCCCATTTGTAAGAACTTTGTCCATCTTTCAAGGGCAAGGCTCAGATCCCCTCCCTCACTCACTCATGAAGTCTTTGCTGACCCATTTCTCCCTTCTACTTCCCCCACCCCTTTTTTCTGAGATAGGGTCTTGCTCTGTTAACCAGGCCGGAGTGCAGTGGCATGATCTTAGCTCACTGTAACCTCCATCTTCTGGGCTCAAGGGATCCTCCCACCTCAGCCTTCTGAGTAGCTGGGACCACAGGTGTATACCACCATGCCTGGCTGATTTTTTTGTAGAGACAGGGTTTTGCAATGTTGCTCAGGCCTGTCTCGAACTCCTGGGCTCAAACAATCTGCCTGCCTTGACCTCCCAAAGTACTAGGATTACAGGCATGAGCCACTGCACCTGGCCATTTCTCTCTTTTATCTCTTCTCACCAGACAACTAAAAGTCTGAAATGTGTGCATTACCAGTCACAGAAGACACTGTCTTAGACTTCCATTGCTGTCAGTTACCTGTTTCCACATCAGTAAAAGCAGGGAATGTCTGTCCTAACGACAAATGTGACTGTATAGGAAGACAAAGGTGTATAGACCAACCAAGGGTTTGTTCCTCCCTCTCCCTAACTAGCACATGCTGAAAACAGTCAATAAATAACTGATAGTTTCTTCGGCCCAGCCTCATAATGAACCAAAAGGTGGGCATCCATTCTCAGAGTGCTGAGCAGTAGAGCCCAGCCTCAGCACACCTTCAGGGAACAATGGGGGTTTTGATGCTGGGTCTGTATCAGAATGGAATTAGAAAGCCAGTAGAATCCCTTTCAAGAAAAGATGGGTTTCTAACAAGCACCCAGTACTAATAACCCATGTGACTGAGTGCTTACCAGATACTACACACTCTTCTAGATGTTTTACATGGATTGTCTCATTTAACCTTCATAAATCATAAGATAGGTACTATTTTCCCTATTTTGTGAATGATGAAACTGGAGCTTAGAGGTTAGAAATACTATCCTTAGCAGGTTTTTAAGAAAGGATTTCACTGTTACCTTTAAAGATTCCTTTTCCACATTTAACTATAAGGGTTTCTGCTACATTCTCTGCCATAGCTATAAATTATTAAAGGAATGAATGTAAAGCCCTTCCTTTAGGCTTATAAAATAACCTTCCTTCCTTCCTTCCTACCCTCCTTCCTGCCTTCCATTTATTTTATTTTATTTTTAATGGGCTCCTGCTCTGTCACCCAGGCTGGAGGGCAGTGGCACAATCTTGGCTCACCTCTGCCTCCCAGGTTCAAGCAATTCCTGTGCCTCAGTCTCCTGAGTAGCTGGGGTTACAGGTGTGCACCACCACACCCGGCTAATATTTTTTTGCATTTTTAGTAGAAATGGGATTTCACCATTTTGGCCAGGCTGGTCTCAAACTCCTGACCTCAGGTGATCCACCTACCCTGGCCTCCCAAACTGCTGAGATTACAGGTGTGAGCCACCACGCCCAGTCTCTTTCTTTTTTTCTTTTAAATTAGAGATGGGTCTTGCTGTGTTGCCCAGGCTGGTCTCAAACTTCTGGCCTTAAGGGATCCTCCTAAGTGGTAGTGCCAGAACTGGCCCACATCCATGAGACTTCAGATTAAAACCGAACTAAGGAGCACACTCTAGCTGCCTCCTGCTTCCTCCCAGGCCTTTCCCCTGTGAGGCAGGCAGAGAGAGGTGGGAGTCTTCCCACTTGGGCTGAGGCTTCCAGGAATGGTCTGGGGAAGGGTATGTTGAACAATTCTCTTTCACTGGGATTAGGCAAGGCCTTCACCTACCTCTTGGAGAAGGAGTGGTCAGGAGGCTGGTCATTGTCACTAGCGGTTGAGTTCCTTGGAGAAGAGGCAGATCTGTAGGAAGAGGGGCAAAGACAGGAATGTGGCGGGTGGGCCCCTAGGGCTTTGAGTCCTGGAAATCCCAGAAAAGCCTCTGGCGCCAGGTTTTCCTAGGCCCCTTCCCCCTTTCCTCTTGTTCTCTTCTGATTTCCCTGAATACTCCCTCAGGCTCCAGGTACCACGCTCTCCCCTGGAGCAGGTCTGAGGCCGCATGGACTTGCGGAGGTGGGTGTTACCTTCGTACGCTCTCTCCGATCCTCCCACTGGGCCACGAAATTTACCTAGGACATCTCTCAAGGCCTGAGAAAGTCAGGCAAAGGTTCGCAAATCAGTGGCGGACCCAGTTTCGCCAAAGCGCGGTAACAGGTACCCTGGGATTCCACAGCCCGGCGTTCTGGTGACGCCGTCCACCAGGTGTCAGGAGAGGGCCGGGAAGCTCAGGATCCGCGCCCAAGTTCCGGAGCGGAGGGGCGCAGCACGGTAACCCGGCCGGGACCGGGAGGCGAGGGCCGTGGGCTGCCTTCTGGCCCGCCTGGGACGCCGGGCTGCCACGATGGGCCGCCCCCTCCGGGCCTGCCTTCGCCGTTCACGGCACCGTCCGCGCACAGCCTGCCGAGCCTCACTTGGCCCCAGCCCGGGCCTCGAGCCCGGGAGACCCTGAACGCCCCTGCGGACGCGGGGTGGACGCGGCGAGCTGGGTCGGTTCTCACCCCGCGGCCCCGCCCCCGGCCCCGCCCCGAGCCCTCCGAGTTACCAGCACCTGGCGGGCGCCCTGCGCTGCGGACGGCGGGTGTGTCCCGGAACTGCGTTCCTGCCGCCGGGACCCTCGGCCCCAGCCGAGCGCTGAACTTCGGCCGCTTCAGGTTTCAGTTCCTGACGCGGTCGAGGTGGCTGCTGCGAGTGTGGACTACCCGGCTCTGCGGCACCCCCGCCCTCCCCTCGTGCTCACCTTTCCAGTCCGACGGGCTGCCGGCGAAGGGACGGCGCCGCTCCGCGCGTCCTTTTGAAGTCGACGGGGGCGGGCACCGCGGAGCTGCGGAGGCCGGCGGAGGCCGACCGAGGACCCCGAGAGGAGGGAGCCGCGGCGGCGCGCGGGGTTGGCGTAGAGGCCGGAGGGGGTGGGGGGCAGGCCGACGGGGTGGGACAGGAAAAGTGGAGAGAATCCGCCCTCTGCAGGTCCCCTCGGCTCCCTTGGGAGGAAAGGCTGCCTGCTCTTCTCCGATTGTCACTTTACCCTCCATCCGGAGCCGCTTCCTCTCTTGCCCCGAGGCGATGGTGGAGGACGAGATTGGAGCCGCGGGCTAACTGGGATCCGTGCCATTTCCCTGGGCTTGACATTCTCTGAATTTTCAGCTAATGTGGAAAGTTACATTTATTTGCGTTTGTTTATCACTTGCTCGCATAGGTCTGTGTCCCAAAGCTCGGCAGATGAGCGAACTTAGCCAGCACACCCCAGGCCGTGAAGCAGGGGGGTGAAGCGGGGAGAGCCACAAGCCTCACCTGGGTCTTCCCAGCTGGACGTTCTTGTGGAGCAGCACTGAGCAGCGGTCAGGAGTGTCATGGACTTTGTATTCAAACAGCCCCAGCTCCTCTGCTTGCTAGCTGGGTGTCTTTGGGCAAATTACTTAATATCTCGAAAATCTGTTTCCTCATTCCTAAAATGCGAGGCTGAAAGTGATCATGCCTATAAAGCCATCTCATATCCATGGTTCTAGAGCATGGTGAGCACCTCAATTTGAATAATGAGTACGATGCTTTAGCTACCTCTTGACTCACTCGTTTGCGGCAGGAAATGTTCCCAAATTAATCAGAAGAATTCAGTGACTAAGAGGATGTAAGTATAGAACACAGGCACTGGAATCAGCTCTGCTGTGTGGTCTTGAACAAGTTGCTTCTGTTTCATTTCTCTTACCTGATAGAGTGATTGTCAGGACGAAATGAGTTAGTAAATATATACTGTAAAGCATTAGAACCTTGCCTGGCACATAGTAAGTGCTCAGTAAAGGCTATCTATTGTTACCTTGGCTTCCCGTTTAGGATTGGAACCCTGTGATTATTCCTTCCCTCCCAGTGATACAAACTTCTGTACTTACTGACTTCCCACTCCTGTGCGTTTTGTAGGTTTGTGAACCAGTATTTATACAGAAATACTTCCTATAGGAAGGCATCATCAGATTGTGCATATTAATCCAGGGAACAGACTGAAAGAGAAGGTCTCAGAGGAGAGAGGCATAAAGGGAGAAAACAAAACAAAGCCATAAATAAAGCAAGAGTAGTTGCTTTTATTCCTAAAGTGTTCGTTGATAAAAGAAACCAGAGGGCCGGGCGCTGTGGCTCATGCCTGTAATTCCAGCGCTTTGGGAGGCTGAGGCAGGTGGACCACCTGAGGTCAGTAGTTCAAGATCAGCCTGACCAACATGGTGAAACCCCTTCTCTACTAAAAATACAAAAAGTAGCTGGGCGTGGTGGCACACACTTGTAATCCCAGCTACTTGGGAGGCTAAAGCATGAGAATCGCTTGAACCTGGGAGGCAGAGGTTGCAGTAAGCTGAGATGGTGTCATTGCTATCCAGCCTGGGCAGCAAGAACAAAAACTTCATCTCAAAAAAACCAAACACAAACAAAAAACAAAAACAGAGAAGGAAAACAACAAAAAAGTGATGGAATTCATTTTATGTAAATGTATTGTGAGAAATATATGTAAATATATGGATGGGAAAATGCTAATCCCACCAAGAAAGGCAAAGAAAGTGACATGCTGGCTACACATATGTAACTTAATAAAACAAAGGTCAGCCTGGCTTGTCCTCAGATAAGAAAATATCCAAGAGAAAAGGAAATTCAAATCCTGGAGGGCTAAATCCAAAGGAGGACAATTGCTGGCATTGACATACTCTAGCTGATCACACTGATCAGGAAATCCAGGAGAGGTTGAGATCATTCTTGTACCTGGGTTTGTCTCTTTCACATTTTCTATTATCTGTTGAAGATTGTTTAGAACTACAGACTCAGAAGCTATCTGGCTCAGCTGACTACTGATTTGCTGTCACGTTCACAATTTTGACAGTTGTTAATAATGTTCCCTCAATAAGCATCTTTTTATTTCTCTTTAAAATGTAACCAGCAGGGTGGGGTGGCTCATGCCTGTAATCTCAGCACTTTGGGAGGCCAAGGCAGGCGGATCACCTGAGGTCAGGAGTTCAAGACCGGCCTGGCCAACATGGTGAAATCCCATCTCTTCTAAAAATACAAAAATTAGGCAGGCATGGTGGTGCACGCCTGTAGTCCTAACTATTCAGGAGGCTGAGGCAGGAGAAGCGCTTGAACCTAAGAAGTAGAGGTTGTGGTGAGCTGAGATCACACCACTGCACTCCAGCCTGGGCAACAGAGCAAGACTCTGTTTCAATAAAACCCAAAAAATCCTAAATAACTAAAATAGTATAATTGGATTGTTTGTAACACAAAGGATAAATGCTTGAGGGGATGGATCCCCATTCTCTATGATATGATTTTACTATGTGTTGCATGCTTGTATCAAAATATCTCATATACCCCATAAATGTATATATCTACTATGTACCCACAAAAATTAAACATTAAAAAAACAAAAATGTAATCTTAAAAAGTTTGCTCATACATGATACATTTTTGTTTTGTTTTGTTTTTGACAGGGTCTTGCTGTCTCACCCAGGTTGGAGTGCAATAGCGTGATCTTGGCTCACTACAACCTCTGCCTCCTGGATTCAAGTGATTCTCCTGCCTCAGCCTCCCAAGTAGTTGGGATTACAGGTGGATAATTTTTTGTATTTTTAGTAGAGATGGGGCCATGTTGGCCAGGCTGGTGTCGAACTCCTGACCTCAGGCAATCCACCTGCCTCCACCTCCCAAAGTGCTGGGATTACAGGTCTGAGCCACCATGCTCAGCCTGGACATGATTTTTTTTTTTTTTTTTTTAATGTAGTCACATACTTCATTTTATTTTTTGAGATGGAGTCTCACTCTGTCTTCCAGGCTGGAGTGCAGTGGTGTGATCTTGGCTCACTGCAACCTACACCTCTTGGGTTCAAGCGATTCTCCTGCCTTAGCCTCCAGAGTAGCTGTGACGACAGGTGTACACCACCACGCCTGGCTAGTTTTTATATTTTCAGTAGAGACAAAGTTTACCTTGTTGGCCAGGCTGGTTCAAACTCCTGAGCTCAAGTGATCCACCCAGCTCAGCCTCCCAAAGTGCTGGGATTGCAGGCGTGAGCCACTGAGCCTGGCCAACATACCTCATTTAAGAAGTGTAAACATACAGAAAAATAGGATCCAATATGCACATGCTTAGCACCCAGTCTGGTGTAAAATAAAGACTATTGTAAGCAGTATGCATATTATGCTCTTTGGTGTGCGCTCTCTATCTGGATGTCATGTCTCAAGTTCTCTGCGTGTCTTACCTAATCTGTCAGTCTGTCCTTCAAACTGCTGGAGGGCAGGGAATGGAGGATGCTCTTGCAATTAATTCTGTATAAAGAGGCATACACATAGATGTTTAATGAAGCCTTGTGGTGGTGAACTACCCAGTGTTCTCCAAGGATTAAATGCTAAACATCAGAAACTGCAACAGCCATCCTTTTGTCAACAGACCTCAAGGGGCCTCAGGGGAGAGGACAGAAGACATTCACCTCCACCCAGTTTTATTGGCCTTCAGCCCCATCTTGTGCTGCTGCCAGGATCACAGTTTTTCCCCTGGACAACATTACCATTTTGTCAGTCAGGGTAAACAAGCTGTTCCCTAAATGGCACTATCCACCCTAGGTAAGCATACTGGCCCTTTCCCCTGCCTCCTTGGGGCCCTCAGTAGAGCCGTATGCAAGCTAAGTGCCAACCTCACAATTTAGCAAAATTTTCTACTTCAGGTGTGCCTCTATTGCAGCAGTTACTGCTTGTCTGCCCCACCAGACCATAAGTCCCTAGAAGTCTCTGGCACATGCCAAAGAGGACCAGTCTCCTGAGGAGAGGAGGGAAAGCCCTGGAGAAAAAAGGGCTGAGGGCCTTGTGCAGCTAGGGGCCTCCGTTGCCAGCACTTTCCCTGTATCACTCCCAGCAGTGATTCTGAATGCCAAGGGAGTAAAACACCTTTTAGGAGAGCTATGAAAAGGGACAGGCAGTAGTGCTTTTATTTGAAGAGCAACTCTCCTCTCGGGAAATGCAAGCTTCTCTCCATTACTGCTGTACAGAGTAGAGATCCTTTGAAGATGATCCTTTTTTTTTTTTTTGAGACTGGGTCTCACTCTGTTGCCCAGGCTGGAGTGCAATGGTGTGATGAAAGTCCACTGCAGCCTTGATTTGGGCTCAAGATATCCTCCTGCTTCAGCCTCTGGAGTGGCTGGGGCTACAGGCATGTGCTACCACATCCAGATAATTTTTTATTTTTTGTAGAGATGGGGTCTTGCTTTGTCACCCAGGCTGACCTTGCTGAAGCAATCCTCGAGCCTTGGCCTCCCAAAGCAAAGATAATGCTTTTTAAAGAGTAACATCAGTCTGGCCATCATGATGAAACTCCATCTCTACAAAAAATACAAAAATTAGCCAGGCATGGTGGCGGGTGCCTGTAATCCAGCTATTCGGGAAGATGAGGCAGGAGAATTGCTTGAACCTGGGAGGTGGAGGTTGCAGTGAGACAAGAACTCCAGAGACTGAGGCAATGAGAATCACTTGAACCCCGGAGGCAGAGGTTGCAGTGAGCAATGATTACACCACTGCACTCCAGCCTGGGCAACAGAGCAAGACTCTGTCTCAAAAAGAAAAAAATAATTCACCCTCCTCATTATGATCCCCTCCTATCACTGGTCTTCCCCTCATAGGCACTAACATGTCTGGTAATAGTGCCAGTCACAGTTCGCCATTTCCCTGGACATAGGATGGACACATCATGCAAATTGGGCCAGTTAGATTCTTTCTCTAGGGAATGTGGATCTAGAGAGGACACAGTGGCAGAAGGTGGCAGCTGCTAGAGGGGCTGTCCACACATTCCTGACATTCCTGCTGCAGATATCCTGGGGCTGGTTCTTGTCCTTCCTGCAGCCTGGTTCTTTTGCCTCTATGAGCATGAGCTGCCTTCCAATATGATATCCTTCCAACATATTCTTTTTTTTTTTTTTTTTTTTTTTTGAGACAGGGTCTCACTCTCTTGCCCAGGCTGGAGTGCAGTGGTGCAATCTCGGCTCACTGCAACCTCTGCCTCCAGGGTTCAAGTGATTCTCATTGCTTCAGCCTCCAGAGTAGCTGTGACTACAAAAGCACAACACCATGCCCAGCTACTTTTTGTGTTTTTTGGTAGAGATGGGGTTTCATTGTGTTGCCCAGGCTGGTCTCAAACTCCTGAGCTCCGCTAGGAGATCTCAAGCAATCTGCCCACCTCAGCCTCCCAAAGTGCTGGGATTAGAGGCATGAGCCACTGCAACCGGCCCCAACATAGCCTTTTTTTTCCAGAGTCTCGCTCTGTTGCCCAGGCTGGAGTTCAGTGGTGCAATCATGGCTCACTGCAACCCCTGCCTTCCAGGCTCAAGCGATCCTCCCACCTCAGCCTCCCAACTAGCTGGGACCACAGGTTCCTGCCACCAGGCTTGGCTAATTTTTTGTAGAGACAAGATCTCACTATGTTACCCAGGCTGGACTTGAACTCCTGAACTCAAGCCATCCTCCGGCCCAGTGCTGGGATTACAGGTGTGAGCTACCATGCCCAACCCCAACATATCCTTTATTGCTTAATTTTGTCAGTTTGTTACTTGCAACCAGAGAACCCACACGAATGTACTTCCTTCTGTAGCCACTGTTACAGGGAATGACAACATCACCAAGTTCTAGTCTCTCAAGCCTAATTTAGAGTAATTCATGGCTGAGTGCGGTGGCTCACGCCTGTAATCCCAGCACTTTGGCAGTGGCAGGTGGATCACCTGAAGTCAGGAGTTTGAGACCAGCCTGGGCAACATGGTGAAACCCTGTCTCTACTAAAAATACAAAAATTAGCCAGGCGTGGTGGCGTGTGCCTGTATCCCAGCTACTCGGGAGGCTTAGGCAGAATAACCACTTGAACCTGGGAAGCAGAGGTTGCAGTGAGCCGAGATGGCACCATTGCACTCCAGCCTGGGCAACAAGAGTGAATCCCCATCTCAAACAAAAAAAAAGGAAAAAAAATTCCTTAAAACCTCAGTTTTAATCATGTGTCTCCTTCTAGCCTATCACTAAATCTTGCCCATTCTGCTCCATGCTCAATATTCTGTCTTGTTAAAGATCTTATTTTTACCCTCCTCATCATTGTTTCCCTCATACCTAGTACTAGTACTCAGTGCTTGGTAGACAGCTGATGCTCAGCAAATGCTTGTTGAATGGCTGAGTGAATGGTGAGATAATCTCCTCTAAAAACAAGAGCAAAGGTGGAAGGGTTTTGGCATTTATGTGTGCTTATCAAGGTGGCAGGACTTCAGAGCTATTTTTTAAAAAATGTTTTCACAAATATTTCCATAGAAAGTAATGATAGGACTTGAATCCAAGATTTCCTTTAAATTTTTTTTTTTTTTTTAAGACAGGGTCTCCTTCTGTCAGGTTGGTGTGCAGTGGTATAATTGTGGCTCCTTGCAGATTCAACCTCCCAGGCTGGAGTGACCCTCCCTCCTCACCTTAAATGGCTGGGAGTACAGGTGCGCTCTACCATGCCTGGCCTAGTTTTTAAATTTTTTTGTAGAGATGGGGGTCTCTCTAAGTTGCCCAGGCTGGTGTCAAACTCCTGTGCTCAAGTTATCATCCTGCCTCAGCCTCCCAAAGTGCTGAGATTAAAGGTGTAAGCCACCACACCCAACCCTTTAAACATTTTTTTTAAAAATAAGAGTTGGAGATCTCATCATCTTGCCCAGCCTGGTCTCAACCTTCTGGGCTCAAGCAGTCTTCCCCACTTTGCCTCCCAAAGGAATCCAGGACTTCTGACTCTAAATATCTTGCAATTTCCAGGATATGGTGATTATTATTATACTTTGTATCCTTTCCCTTCACTTGCCGTTTCATATCTTCCTCTCTTGTGCTCAGACCCTTACTTACACCAAGTACTAGAGTGTAAACACTAGATATAGCTCTAAAATGTTATTACCCCTTTCCAAGTGTATCTGCTTATCAACCAAAGTGGGGAGGACATGCAGGATTATGAAGAAGAGTCTGTGGCCCTTGGTATCATAAAAGAATTACAGTCAGGAGTTAGGGTGAGCTGGGGTCAGGGATGTGACTAAAGCTTTCTGAACCTGGGGCAGAATCAATAACCGTACCTAAGTGGAAAACAGTGTGCTGAGTTGGAACAATGCCCTGTGTCAAATAATCCACAGAGAGTCAGAATCAGACTTTATTTAACAATCTGAAAATGTGTTCTTCTGGCTTTAAGTCTTGCAAAACGAGTCATAAGTCAAAGACAGATTTGTTCACTATCCTCTGAGTATGTGTGGTGATGTCTCTGTATAGACAAGTGTCTGTGTCTATAGATACTTTTGCTTTTTATTGTGATTATAGTTTCGCTTTAATGTATAAAGTCTTATCCTAATAATGCTAAACCTGAATTAAATATTCCCTGAGTCTAATATTCTCTTCTCCCCAGCCTGCCTCTCTCCATTCCTCCCATAAGGCTGCTCCCCCACCTCCATTAATGCCAGGTCTTTAGAGAGCACCAGCATTCCTACTGAGAACCCAGGGATGAATGCTGGTTCTTATTTCCCTCTGACTTATACCCTCTGGTTGAAGAGCTTCTCTGGGGAGGTGTGGGTGGGGGGAGTCTTGGCAGTTTCTCTTCAGAGTTGTGCATTTTCACTTGTAGAAACCTGGAAGGTAAACATGATTGTGTTAGGTGTTGCCTTGCCTTCCCACCAACGACTTATGGAGGGGTTAAACTCAATTTGCTTCTACTGAATTATACTTCATGTAATGCCACTGGCCTCTCCTGAGGGAGGCAATTGAAACTGGTTGTTGGGATTATTGCAAAGACTTGTTGCAGATATTGTTCATTACATCATTTCTTTATAATGATTCACAGGAGAATTTTCTTTTTTTTCTTTTTGATACATAGTCTTGCTCTGTCTCTCAGGCTAGGGTATAGTGGCACAATCATAGCTAACTGTAGCCTTGAACTCCTGGGCTTAGGTGATCTCACTTCAGCCTCTGAGTAGCTAGGACTACAGGAACACACAACCATGCCTGGCTAATTTATTAAACAATTTTTTGAAGTTGAGTGTGGGGACTCACACCTGTAATCCCAATACGTTGGGAAGCTGAGGTGGGTAGATCATTTGAGGTCAAGAAATTGAGACCAGCCTGGCCAACATGGTAAAACCCGGTCTCTACTAAAAATACAAAAATTACCTGTGTGTGGTGGTATGTGTCTGTAATCCCAGGTGCTTGGGAGGCTGAGGTAGGAGAATTGCCTGAACCTGGGAGGTGGAGGCTGCAGTGAGCTAAGATCATGCTACTGCACTCCAGCCTGGGCAACAGAATGAGACTCCATTTCAAAAAATATATATTGTTGCCTAGAATGGTCTTGAACTCCTGGGCCTAAGTGATCCTTCCACCTCAGCCTCCCAAAGTGTTGGGAGTACAGGTGTGAGCCACTGCACCCAGCCTCTTTTTCATCTTAGTAGGAGTTGTTGTTCTCTTAAGGAATGAGCATCATTTCTGGTGAGTTAGATCGCTAATATCAAAAAAAAAAAAAAAAAAGAAGAAGAAGGAATGAGTGTCATGAATTGGGTTAACTGACCGGATTTTCTCTTATTGGATTTTAGAAAGTCTGGAACCAATTTCACGGTCATCCTTAGTAAGCTTATTTTATAGAATGCATTTTTGTACTTGCCTAATTCAATGGCTCCATTTTCTATCACTGTTCTGTCTGATATAATTTTCTGCTATGTGTTGTGTGTGTATGTTAATAAATATAAATACATACAGCTCATATGCTGCATAAGGACGTTTTGGTCAACAATGGACTCTATATACAAAGGTAGTCCCATAACATTATAATGGAGCTGAAAAATTTCTACTGCCTAGTGACATGGCAGCTATTATCAACATTGCAGCCTTCATAACATCACAGCCCAATACATTATTTACATATTTGTGATGATGCTGGTATAAACAAACCTACAGTGCTGCTAGTTGTAAAAAGTATAGCAAATGCATTATGTACAGTACATAATATTGATGACAATAACAACTATATTACTTGATGCATCTAATATACTATACTTCAAAAAATATTTTTCTATATATATTGTTTTTGAGACAGAGTCTCACTCCATCACTCAGGCTGGAGTGCAGTGGCACAATCCCGGCTCACTGCAGTCTCCATATCCCAGGTTCAAGGGATTCTCATGTTCTTGTGCCTCACCATTCCAAGTAGCTGGGACTACAGGTGTGTGCCACCATGCCCAGCTAATTTTTGTATTTTTAGTAGAGATGGGGTTTTACCATGTTGGCCAGGCTGGTCTTGAACTCCAGGCCTCAAATGATAAGCCTGCCTCAGCCTCTCCAAGTGCTGGGATTACTGGCATGAGCTACCATGCCCGGCCTACAATACATTTTATTATTATTTTAGTGTGTATTCCTACTTATTAAAAAAAGTTCTGCTTATTGGCTGGGCATGGTGGTTCACACCTGTAATCCCAGCACTTTGGGAGGCT